GGCGCAGGATCACGCCAAAGAATGTGTTTGTAATACAGAGGTGATGATAGGTGCAAAGCTCCAGAAGGCGTTGACCATTTTCATTGCATTTGCCAACACCAAAGTGACCAAGACAATCAGGCCAGGAGCCTTGATCGTTGCCCACTCTAGCGTTGAAATCGCCGAGGAGAATCAGCACTTCGTTGTTTGGGATATGTTTGATAGCATCATCCAATTGGCTGTAAAAGGTATCCTTGGCATCGGTACTCGAAGTCAGGGTTGGAGCGTAGACAGAAAGCAAATTGGTGGGACCTAGATCGGTATTGAGTTTTATGTGCATGATGCGCTCAGACTTGGTTGAGCCCGGCTCCACCATCTGTACTAGCTTGTTGCTGACAGCAAAACCAACTCCATGTACTCTAGGCTCATCTTCATCTCTACCCTGCCAGAAAAATGTGTATTCCTTTTCCGTTAGGCTTCCGCAACCAGCTGTGCGCGTTTCCTGTAAAGCAGCGATATCAACCTTGAGCCTAAACAATTCTCTGCTGATGACAGCTGTTTTGCGTGCCCCATCAATGTCGCGTATGTCATTGGTAAGTCCGGTCAGCATCGTTCGGACGTTCCAACTCCCAAGTGTAAGAGCTGGTCTTCTTCTAATAGATCCTTGATTCTTAGGTGAATAAGTCGCAGCCCACTTGTCAGACTGTTTCCAGACTTAACTCGTGCTCACCCCAGCAAAACAGGCGGGTAGTAGCGGGAAAGCACGTTATTGACTGGGGGCTGCCCAGTTTAAGCGGGTTGTAGCTATCCAATGGGGCTAAAAAGCCCCTCCCACTGTCAGGAATGACCCCTGGCGTCTGGCTCTACGCCAATCAAGCCATGACTTAGAAACGGTAACTGCCACTCCCCGGTTTGTTTCCATGCCAGGGAAAGCCGTAGGGCATGCTGAAGTTGCCTCTCCATGCGCTTGCCTAGGCGGTTGATATGGAGATACTGGTTTGCCCAAGTCCCAGAATCCCCTTCTCTGTCTTGCTGGTAGAGTCCGAAGGAAAGGCAGGGCCAGTACGTTCGGGACCAGGTCGACTGCAGGAGTTGCCAGAAAATGATATAGCGTCAAAACTGCCTTACGAAACTCCACTCCGGTTTTTCTGTGGGGGTTTGCTCCCTTAGCCTTTAGCTATCCCTAGCCACCACAAGGCAGTGGGACCGTAACCCTGGTTAAGGGAGGCTAAGGGTGTGCTAACACTTGCCCAAGGTGTCCACCCGGGCTAGGGGAGGGAAGGAAGCGCCTTATTTTTCCTTTTCTAGACCGGCTCCATGGAAGGTCTAGCCACTACCCCTCAGCTATAGGAGCCCTAAAACGTGTACGGCCCTTTATATCCAAAGAAACTGCAATTCAAATTTATAACGCTTTGATTATGCCTTACTTTGATTACTGCAGCCCCGTCTGGGACTGTTTAAGTGGCTACTTAAGCGATAAGCTACAAAAATTAAAGAATCGAGCAGCCAGAATTATTACTAAATTACCATTTGATTCGAGCTTAAACCACCTTCTCTCCACACTCGATTGGGAGAGGCTATCTCTTGGACGAGAGAAACAAAAAGCCCTATCATTGTATAAAACTATGAACGACCTTGCTCCCGAATATCTTCAAAGTCTTTTATGTCTGATATGTTTTTATCTGCTGTCAACGAGTGTATCCCAAGGCGGACAGCGAAGAGAACTTCGAATGCACCATGGATAAGCGGGGATCTAATTAAGTTGTGTAGAAGAAAGAAAGTGCTTTATAAAAGGGCAAAAAAAACCTGTGCTCTTTCTGATTGGAACAAATATCGTAAATTCAACAACTATGTGAAGAAGGAGTGCAACTCTGCACGTAGGCAATTTATAAACAATCTGGCAGATGAACTAAAGACCGGAAACAGTTCAAAGCCTTTTTGGAACTTTGTTCAATCAAAGAGAAAAGTCAAATGTGATTTAGCGTCCTTAAAGGTGAACGATTCGTATCTTAACGACGACCTGAGCATTGCCAATTGTATGAATTCTTATTTCTCATCGGTGTTTACTGTTGAGGATCACGAAAACTTTCCCGACCTTGAATATATTACAGATGAGAAATTATGTAACATCTTTTGTTCTGCCACGGAAGTTGAGAAATTGCTAAGAAATTTGAATATTTACAAGTCCTCCGGGCCCGACTACATATCACCTCGCATCCTAAGAGAATGTGCTCAAGTGTTGTCATCTCCACTGGCTTTATTTTTGAATACATCCTTCTCTCAAGGTCAACTACCAAGTATATGGAAGTCGGCCCACATCACTCCAGTCCATAAGAAAGGGAGCAAAAATCTCATGGAGAACTACCGCCAAATATCACTGACTTGTATTGTTTGCAAGATTGCAGAAGCTGTGGTAAAGTCCCGTGTGGTCGACTTTTGGTCAGACCTCAATCTTTTTAATCCAGACCAATTTGCGTATCTAAGGGGTAAATCGACGTTGGCACAATTACTTACATGTTACAATGACTGGGCAAAGGCTAGGAATTGCTCGCAACAAACGGATATCATCTTCTTAGATCTCTCCAAGGCTTTCGACAGCGTGCCACACGAGCGCTTGCTGCTGAAACTACAACGGTATGGGATAGACGGCTCTCTACTACTGTGGATTAGAAATTTTTTGACGAATAGAAGGCAGCGTGTAGTGTTAAGGGGCAATTGTTCAGACTGGTCACCCGTGATTTCAGGTGTGCCTCAAGGAACAGTACTCGGCCCAATCCTATTCATTATTTATATAAATGATATTTCGGCAAACATTGCATCAACCGTGAAAATCTACGCTGATGATACTAAAATCTATCGCAAGATCATGGAGCCTGATAAGGATATACCAGCCTTACAGCTGGACTTGAACAAATTAAGCGATTGGGCTAACAAGTGGCAGTTGCGCTTTAATCCTGAAAAATGTGAAGTTATGCGTGTAACGCACAGTAGAGACAGATCCAAGCCTAGTTATTCCCTTGGTACGCAACTAAAATCTGTCGACAGCGCCAAGGACCTAGGGGTCACAATAAACTACGATCTATCTTGGGGTAAACACGTTTCCTACATAGTAAACAAGGCGAACAAAGTGTTGGGTATAATTAGGCGATCACTTGGAAACGATAATCGCTATGCGTTTTCCTGCCTCTTTAAGTCGTTAGTAAGACCTATACTCGAATACGCTGTCCCCGTCTGGAGCCCCTACCAAAAAAAGGATATCGAATCCTTGGAAAAAGTCCAAAGAAGGGCATCTCGGTTGGCATTAAAGCAAAAACGCGGAGAAATGAGCTATGAAGACCGCTGCCGCCTACTGAATTGGCAAACTTTGGAGAAACGAAGAGAGTTTTTATCTCTGATCCAGTGCTACAAGATAGTTCTGGAAATAGATAGTCTTCATTTTTCGGACTTTTTTGAACTTACTAAATGTAATCGAACTAGAGCCAATCACGATTATAAGCTCTACGTAAAAATAGCTATCGTAAATTGCTACAAATTTTCTTTTTTTGTACGGATCGTTAATATGTGGAATAATTTGCCTAAAGATATTGTACACGCAGGATCATTGACTTTATTTCGTAACAGACTAAAGATTTACATGAATATTGATTGAGATGATGGTAAACAGTTTTTAATTATCTGTATATAATGTTTTGATCTTTTTATTCGGGGAATCTTTTATATAGGGTTAACCTCTAGAATATCCCCTTTCGAGAGATACTTTTACAATTTTTATTTTCCTTTCTCTTGAATAAAGTATTGTATTGTATTGTATTGTATTGTATTG